GAATATATTTATTGTGGGGGAAAGAAAGCTCCTGTCCAAGAGAGGGACAGGAAGGGGGCCCGAGCAGATTGTCTCCGGGAAGCTGTTGCTTCCAGGGACTTTTATAGAGTAAAACCACGTGGTGAGGAGGGTCTAAGGTGGATAACATGGGAACTCGCTTAGGTGGGCATGAGGTGGGACAAAACTATGGTCAACCAATGGGATTACGAGCGCCATTGCTCAGGTAAAAGTGATTAAGTCCAGGACCAAATGGGTAAGCGAGTCATGTAGCAAGTGGACATGAATATAGAACAGGACTTTATCCGGTAGCCATCCGGTAGTAGTCGGATTAATGATTCTTCTGGGCTTCCTCAGAGTGATCAATCCCGGATGCTAATCTTTAGGGAGGTGAGCATTTGTTTGATCTTTGGTCTTTACATCTAGTCCACAGCAGGAGCATCTGTCTCCCTCACAGTTGTAAGGTATCTTGTCTTCTTTGTTATCTCCTTTGAGGGCCTGGCCCTGTCTGACCGCCTATAATATTTCTATCTAATATTAGATATCTACAACAGTGTGACTAAGCCTAGTTCACACGTACCACTTGGGAGCTGCAGGTGGGCACCACTGCCCCGTGGCCTTGCTTCAAAGGCTACACCCCTCCGCGGGACCCACTCACATCGCTTAAAGTCAGTGGAAGCAGATCCCAGGGCTGTGCTTGGGTGGGGTCCTGATCTTGCATGCCACGAGGTTGGACTACCTGAACGCCCAGGTGATCTGTAGGATGCCTCTGCCAGTTTTCAAATTCCATGCCATTCCACCCCCCTTCAAATAGAAAATATATATTTCATTGGATTCCTCTGAATTGAAGGTTTATTTCTATAACTAGAAAAAGATACCTCTTTAGGTGAAGGTGACACCTACTGATAAACATTTCACATGCCCACTGATTATTTGAACAGAAAATTCTTAAGACTAGCAAGGTGGCACACGGCACATGCCTATTATCTCAGCAATAAAGAAGCTGAAGCAGGAGGATCACAAGTTCGAGACCAGCCTAGGCAAATTAACTGATGCTGTCTCAAAATAAAAGGACTAAGGCGGGCCAGGGAGATGGCTCAGTGGAATAAGCGCTTCCCTGGCAAGTGCAAGGGCCTGAGTTCAATCCCTGGTTCTACAGTACTTAAATAGCATGTGTAAGGCCCTGGGTTCAATCAGAGAGAGAGAGGGAGGGAGGGAGGGACAGGGAGGGAGAGGAAGAGGGAGAAGGAGAGGAAGAGGGAGAAGGAAAGACAGAGACAGGGACAGGGACAGGGACAGAGACAAAGACAGAGACAGAGAGACAGCTGGGGAGATGGCTCAGTAGAATAAGTGCTTGCCTGGCAAGTGCAAGGGCCTGAGTTCAATCCCTGGTTCTGCCAAACAGAGAGAGAGAGAGACTGGGAGAGAGACAGAGACAGACAGACAGACAGAGACAGATCTGGCTCTTCTCTCTCACTCCACAGCCAATAAACCTTTACTGTCCTGAGCACTCCACTTCCACAATGTGTATAGGACCTGATGCCTCTCACCACCTCCATCTCTGATGCTGTAGCCATTTCTAACACTGCTGAAGCAAATTACTGCAAACCAAGTGACTTCAAATGACTTAAATGTATTATAGTTTTACAATCCAGAAATCATAAATGGGTCAGCTAATTAGCAATTTTAATTCTGATACCTTAATCCCCCCTTGCCACATAACATATCCACAGAGATGAGGACCTGGATTTTTTTGGCAAGGGGTTGGAGGTACATTATTCTGATTATTCTGCCTACTATAACCACTCCTATGTGAAGTTTGAATTTTAATTACTAATTATCCAATACTCTTCCAATGAGTTTCTCAGCTTCTACCCTTGCTTTTCTATGCCTACGCTACTACAATTTTCCCAAGGAAACCAGAATACTTCACAGAAAATGAAAGAGTGACCCTGTGAAGGATGCAGTTCAGTAGTAGAGCGCTTGCTTAGCATGCACAAGACCCTGGCTCAAGCCCACGCACTGAAAATGTAATAACAACAACAATTAAATGGGATCATGTGACTGTTTGTCTAAAACCCTCTAATGGCTTCTCGTTACTCCGCACAAAGCCAAAGTTCTCCGCAGAGCCCTGCTAACTCTCCTCAGTGTGTCCCATATTCCCGCCCTTCATTCAGCTCTAGTCCCACCACTCTCCTTGGTGCTGAGGCAACTCCTCACACCCAGGCCCCTTGCGCTGCTTGTGCCTGGGTATGTTTGCCCAGAGAGCCACAAGGCTCATTCCTGAGCTTCCTCAGCTCTTTGCTCAACTGTTATCAGAGAAGTCTTCCCTCACTGGATCACCCTGCCTAAAATACCATCCTGTAAGATTCTCTGTCTGCTACAAACTGGGTATCTACGTACCCTGAATTCCATGTGTTGAAGCTCTAGCCCCCAACGAGATGTGACCTGGAGGTGCAGCCTTTGGGTGGCAACGAAGTTTAGAGGGTGTCATGAGTGCAGTGCTTCCATGGAGGGCCACTTCCCTAATAAGCAGAGTAGAATTATCCCTAGCTCAGCTGGGCATCAGGCTGGCCAGCTGCAAACCAGAAGGGTGAACCTCATTAGCCTGCACCTTCATCTTAGATTTTTCAGCCTCAAGAACTGTGAGACATAAGCATTTGTTGCTGAAACTACCAGTATGCTTTCTTATAGCAGCGCAAGCTAAGACACCATCTTCACTCTTGATTTTCTTCACAGCACTTGTATGCTTGTTTAATATTTATCTCTTTCCAGGAGAAATTGTGTGCTTTGTTCTTTTACCATTTCTTAGCATCTGTACAATGAGGTTCTCAGTAACATCCAACATCCGTTAGGTAAACAAATAGAACCTATTTTTTAATTCTGCTGCTGCTACCTCATGCATAACGGGTTCTTTATGTCATTAGCTCATAACAGCTTTCTCCTCCCCAGAAACGGAAGTTACTAAACTGTTGATTACTACCATAAAATTTATAGAGATATAAGATGAAAGGCAATTTGTTCAAATTTAGGCATAAGATATAGAGAGTTGTTTATAAAAACATTTTAAACTTTGTGATTATTGAAGTAATTCATTAGGAAAATACTGATTGCAGAACAGGAGGAAGGGCCAGTGAGATAGCTCAGCAGACTAAGCTGAGGTTCGATGCCTGGTCTCCCATGCCATGCCGGCCCCACCCCCACCACCACCCCCAGGCATGCTGAGCTGGGCGACAGAGATCCTGTACCAAATACATAAGAGAGAGAGAGAGAGAGAGAGAGAGAGAGAGAGAGAGAGAG